TTAGGTGCAAAGAGCCCATTAGCAAAAATGTTTACGGATGTCGCTCCGCCGGAGACCTGACAGCTTTTCTGTTAACTCTTGAGTTCATGGTACATAAAAATAACATTTTCCTTCCTACCTGGATGTACTGCTGCCGCTGCAGGGCGGAGTGAACGCAGCCAGGTACCTCCGCAGGCAGATTCAGCGACCCGTTGGAGTTTGACAGCCTCCATTTTCCGTTCAGACTCAGCTGCAGTCGCTGCACCTCTCCTGAAGAGAAGGCCGGAAGAACTCCGACAACTAGCCACAGCAAACCCCAGTTTAAAGAAGTCCAAACCTGCGCCATGGAGGCAGTTTACATGCCCATGACTGGTTTGATATATGAAGAGCACTTCCGTGTTGGTCACGTGACAAAACCTATGACGGTCAGCTGATGGCGGATGAATATTAGTAGCGCGAAAACGAGTTTTCTTTTAAGCACACACAAAAAAGGCCGTCACACTGGTATTCTGTTAAAAAAAAAAAAAAACAATACCAATGTCGCACATTTTTTAAAGTAGCATTTTGCCAGTATTTAAAGCATTAGGTAGGTTGAGTGAAACTGGTGCAAAACCAAATTTTATAATTCCACAGCAACAATTACATTTTTCATTTAAAATTAGAAACAGGAGGTCCAAAAAATTGTATGCAAGGACTTGAAAAATTAGCCATTTCAGTTAAATTTCGTTTGCCGAAGGACATTTTTCTCAGCCTTAAATGGGGATGGGCGGGGCTAAAGGCTTGGTAGACAAATCAACCAATCAGAAACCAGTATTTTCAGACAAGTCATGGTGGCCATTTGAAAGAGCCGTCTACTACTGTCTACATTTTTTCAGTTTATGAATATATTAAATCATTTTTTCCAACCCAATGAAATTGGTACTTTCAGCACTAGATGCAGGTGCAAAAATATGCTTTTATTCAGAACTTGAGTGTTTTCTATGGAATCGTTCAGAGACTGATCACAATGTATTCAATCCCATTTGTAATCAAACCACTTTATTGCAGTTAGTTCCACAGATTTTTACCCACAGCATCAAACTGAGCAAAGATAACATTTTTTTTTTTTGTCATTTCTCATTGATGAAAAACAGCATCAAAAGAATATAGTTTGGAGAAACTTTATTGAAGGGAAAACTAAAAAGAAACAGAGCCATGAGTTGATTATCAACCCTTCAGCTTTGCATCAATATTTCAGGGCTACAAGAAGACAGTGTTTGAGTGGGCATAAAAATGAAAAGTAAAGAAAAATGCTCATCTACTGGCTTCTAAATAACAGAAAAAAAGAAATGGAAAGCATTTGTGAAGAACCAATTTTTTTCTCCCCAACTGTTCAACCTTACAATTCACTTAATTTGCAGAAACATCAGATATAATAGCCTACCTTTATTAACATGCATAAAATACAACATTGAAGTTCTTATATTTGTTTCCTTAACATTGATATATGCTGCTCTGCTTCTCTGTACACACTTTGACAGTGGAATAAGATACTTATCAGATAACAGATTCCTACACTACTGATCAGAGAAACAAACTGATGTCACCTCAGTTCATGAGATGCAACCAGCTCAAATTCTGCTATCTGATAAAATGCAGAATTATACCAATTAGGGGAAAAAACTTGAAATTTTCAAGATACTGCAAGCTCAAAAAAAAAAAGCAGGAAAAAAAAAAAAAAAAAAAAAAAAAAAAAAAAAGGATTTTTGGAAACCTGGCTTCCAGAAGAGAAATGCAGCGATCCTAGACAAAAATCCAGCCAGATGAGAAATTGGAGAGCATTGTGGGATTGATTTTTCAGCACATTTCAGGAGAACAGCTGCGTCAGAGTTTTGAAGTGTGGAAATTATTACAATGTGTCGAGCGCACTCACGCGGGTGTTGAGAGCTATGATTTTTTTTTTTTTTTACCTTCTGTTCAACTCAAAAAGGAGTCACAATTTGACAGAAACTGGCATGTAACCTACAGAGAAAACACTATCTTCTTATGAGCGTGCAGGTGGGGGAAAAAAAAGAGGTAAAATGCATTGATTAACCAAAAATACAGTGAAAAAAACAAAACAAAAACAAAACTGAATCCCGTAATTTTAAGTTTGAACCAGCAACAATTTCCACCTGCTCTTCAAACGATGTCATCACATTGCATACTTCTGTGTCCATTCTTTTGCCATTTTGATGTATCTGTGGGGAGAAAGTCGTTAATTGTTAATACCAATATTTTAGATTCAGCGGGGAGGTTGTCTAGCTTTAGACTTCTTTAAAACACATGCACCTTCAGGTCAAAAACATGTCCTACATTATTCACTCGCATGTCAGGGATCGTCTCCATTTCCATAAATGGAGACTTGAGCAATTATGTTCATGCTGAAGTTAGTAATCTTTCACATGCACACATACCCTGTTCTGATTTGTTAAAATACAAATCCTTATGATGGAAGACCATTTTAGAACACTTTTCATCCATATATGGAAGAAGATGTTGGTATTTTTTGTACGTTTCACAGATAGAGATGCACCAACGATTCAGCTGCCACCTGTCTGGAAACTCAAAAATTGGATCTTTTTTCCTGATCATTGAATGCACCCTAGCAATTGCTACCAGGCAACACATACACAAGACACTTTGGTTTGGGTGACATTAAATAAAGAAGACAGCTTTCTACCATTAGATTTATCCTTTTTAATGTACAACATGTCTGAGTTACAACATGCTGGATGCCTTTTGGAAATCTTAAAGAAAAAAAATATATATACACACTGCTATTGGCTTTGTCAATCATTATTAGAAGATATCAAAGACTGTTTGCAGATGTTGGTTAATCTCTCGTCTTTGCTTCAAAATGAGTTTTATACCAACTGCTTTCAGATGGGAAGGCTAACTGTGCTAATCCATAAACAAGTTTGAATGCCTCATATTACAGATAAGATCAAAAATAATAATAAAAAAAAAATCAGCCAATATTGGTGTCAGCAAAAATTGGCCCAAAAAAATTTGATTGGTGCATCTTTGAGGTGGACAATATGGCTGAAAAACATCATGATACAAGCATTTCATATCAGTTGTTTATTGATTAGGTTTTTTGTTCTAAATGTATGAAATGGTGGTATAACATTTCCTCTTTTAGCCACATTTTTCACTCCATGCTTTTTTTATTTTTTAAGTGGTTCTGAGAGGAAACTTAAACTACTGCTGCTGCTGGGCAAATTACCCAGCACATTGTTGCTAGGTAACAAAAGAGTGAGTTAGTTGACATCATTCACCAATGGCTAAAGTCTTCCCTCTGATTTGGATCTGCCGTTCCGGATCAGAGTTTGGTGAAATGATTGGATATTCTATCAGACGCTTTAGGTATTGAGATTGACCATGTATCCGTAGCAATATATTAATTGTTTTATTGTCCAGCACTAGAGCGTGTCTACCAAAAAAATAAATAAAAAAAAATCTGAATTTCATTTTGCACAGAATGATCTTGTGTCTCAGTGTCAAAATAAAAATGGGTAAAATTTTTAAGCATAAATCAAAAGACCAACAAATAGGTTCCTGTATATCTTATGGAACAATTTGACTAATAAGTTTTTTCCCCTTTTATAAACACAGACACAAGCCTCTGGTTAGGCCAGGGAGGTCAGAGCATGACAGCACATCCAGTCTCATAGCAGCAGCCAAGATGCAGCTCCAGCCCTTCACCTTACCCTAAAGCATGGCATATTTTGTTGTCCACTCCTGAGCTAGTTTATTGTACCTAACAAAGTGAAACCAGATCACATAACAGATCCCAACCATTTTAAAGGTACAACTATATATTTTAAAGTTACAACTATATATATAGTTTAAATGACTGTTACCCAGATACACAACTGGCTCATTTTCAAGTTTATTCGACATGTGTACTTACTTCTGACTATCTGTTTTGTAGATTCGTGCAATCTCTGGCACTAGTGGGTCGTCGGGGTTTGGGTCACATAGGAGTGAGCAAATGGAGAGAAGAACTGAAAGAAAAATAAATAAAAACTTTACAAATAAGCCATTCTAAATATTCAATGTCATTTTCTGTATTTTTGACTTAAATGCTGTCATCACAGCCTTGCTCTTGTCAGACTGCCTCAGGGCAGTTGTGGCTATTGTCCAGTAGCTAGCCACCATCAGTGTGCGAGTGACTGACTAATGTGAAACGTTTTGGGTCCTCTGGTGTTGATAAAGTACAAAGCCATTTAGCATTTCTGTCAGTGTCTTTTGTATCTAGCATTGTCATTTAACCTGACCACACAAGACAATCATCTCAAAACATAAACTTAAGACTTCATACACGTGTATATAAAAAATAAAATGATAAAAAAAAAATCTAAATCTCACCACTTGAGTCACATGAATACTCGTACCTTTAGAAATAGTAAGTGCTGGAGACCACTGTGATCTGAGAATATCCAGACAGATACTGCCGTTACTGTTAATATTTGGGTGGTAAATTCTTGTTGTGAATGCAACCTGAAGGGAAAGAGGAAAAAAAACAAAAGCATAGACAACGTTAGATAAAGCAAAGCTGCACACGTTTATTACATATTTCAAATTCCATTTTCCAGAGTGGTGACGGTGTGCTTCTGGAATGACAGGTTTCCAGAACAACAAATGGGTTCCAAAAACCAGTTTGATTTACAAGAGCTGCATTTGATGAAAAGATTTAAAAAAAAAAAAAAAAAAAAAAAAAAAAAAAGGGACAGTAATTTTCCACAAAAATTGTTTTCACCACAACCATGTGGTGTGTCCACTTACCTTGGGTGGTTTGAAGGGGTAGTCTGTTGGAAAATGAATTGTCAAGAAGAAAACTCCTCCCTGATATGGACTGTCGCTCTGAAACAACATGGACACAGTTTTTGCTTTAGAAAGGATTCATGAACACTTCCTGAATGCAGCTCTCCAACATTATCAAGTCAAATTTTGACCTTTTATCTTACGGACGCATTCAAAGGCAGCCAAGAACGCCATTCCGGTTTATGTAGGTGCACAACTATTATGTCATAAAATACTTACTGGTCCCATGATTGTGGCCTGCCAGTGAAACACTGCGGAGAACAGAAAGCAAAGTGTTAGAAAATGGTGAAAGGTCACAGGTATGTGATCTGACGGGAAGTATTCAGCCGGAGATTTCTCATAGCTTCCCGACAGTAAATGTTTGTGTTCCCTCTGGCTGTGCAACTATGTAAAATAGATTTTATAGACAGAAGACTAGAATCTGCACATTCTGCTTTCGTCAACCAATCAAAACGGTGATTCCCCCCCAATTTTTAAATTTGACATGAGAAGACAGTTTGGGCATTTTAGTCAATTATTAAATATTCCAATAGCCATGTTTTCTGATCCACTTTCTTTTGATTTTGAGGTTTTTTTCCCCCCTCCAGCTTCTTTCAAATTCAAAACAAAAATCACTACCAATATGTTTTTTATTAAAACAATTAATACAGCAGAGGAGCAACAACAACAAAGATCAAAACTTAAACTGGTATGTCAGGATAAGCCAGAGCAGTACATCTTTACAAATTATATTACATTAGTAAATTAATATGTTATTTTGAAAAATAATGTGGCTGAAATGAAAGGTAAAAACTTACTGTCATCACCCACTGGGCCAGCTGAGCACTGTGCTGGAGGGTCACGAGCCAGGTCATTAAGTTCCTAATAATAATTTAAAAAAAATAGATAAAACAACCAATTAGCTGACAATAAAAGGTCAATATTACTATTTAAAAGTGGTGTAAGGAATTGAGCTTTTAAAACCCTGAGTTTAAGTGTCAACATAATTTCCTTTCCCCAATATCCACAAACCCTGTTGACCCCCTTTCAATTCTCCAGTTCCATCTGTGGACCACCTACCATCATTTTACACTGTAAACTGGAAAATTCATCCCATGTATGCGCCGTAAAAAGCCACCCTGTTATTTATGGGTATACAGCTATTTTGGAGTGAGGTGGAAGCATTGCCCCACCCCGGCCTTCAGACACCATTTCACAAACAAGTTAAGGGATTTCCGTGAAGGAATATTCTAGAGTGAAGAAATAAAGCTGACCTGTCAACACTTTTAGTGTTAGTGTCCATTTCACAGCTCGACGTAAATGTAAATATAGGTAAATGAGTACGAGCAATTTCCCAGGAAATGTATCATTTCACCCGGCTTGGAGTACAAAGACGGATTCAGAAAGTAAAAAAAAAAAAAAAAATGAGTCATGGAGTCCGAGTATTGCGACTGGAAATGTTCGCAACTGCCGTACTTCAGCACGAGCTCTGGGCGACCAGAAGGCCCGAAACCGCGCGTTGTGTGTGAAGGTATGAAGAACTGTGACAACTATGCGACATCTTGTTGTCAACCCGTCTCGATGAACAAAGTTAGCCTGTAACTGAAACTGCTAACAATAGCCAACGAGCCGCCTGGTGTTTAGCGAATAAACCTTAACCGACGTATGTCAGCCCTAGCCGGTAAGAACGAAGTTTATAAGAAACACACAAACCGGTGACTAACTAAACTCAAAATTCATCAAAGTGGCGTACGTGAAAGAACTGTGAACTTGACGCTTCCTCGAACACGCATCACCGCCTGGTTTCACAGAATACGGCTGCATTGTGGGTGGCTAGCCCGGCTAACGCGACTAGCTAACATTTTAACGACGGTGTCTTACCTTGTGAATCCTTTTCAGAGCCATCCTTTTTCGGTGTTCTCGTCTTTACGGTGAAGGTTTTTCGGTCCAGCTACTGAATGTCAGCTGTAATCTGCCAGGGCGATTCGTTCAGTTGGAATAACTGACGCTGGGTCAACTCGGCGGCCTTTCTTCTTTAGCTAGCGCAGTTAGCTGGCTAGCTAGCGTGCTAAAACTACGTATGCGCGGAGTTCAAGCACCAGATGTTACGCTCTCTTCTGATAAACTGTTCTTTTTCGCACAGCGGCAGTTACTTATATAAGACTCTTGGTATCCACGTTTGAAACTAAATAAGTGCCTGTATCGATAAAAAAAAAAGTCGTTAGTCGACTGCGCTCCTCTCGTTTTGGTTTCGGTCGACGCTGTTAGGTAACTAGCGGCTGTCTACATATATGTGAAGCTTTATGACGATGGGAGGCGGTCCTAACCGCGGGTGACGCAGCGGATATGATGGTAAATTGGGTGCAAGCCCACAGTAAAACTAAACTAGTCAGGCCAGTCGTGAAATCTAATCCTTTATAAACACACCAAAAATATCAATTGACATGTGATGCTTCGTGTTTGGGTTTTCTGAGTCGCTACTTCTAAGAAAAAGAAAAGCATAAAAGTTGTAATAAAGGTGTTTGACAATAGCAGAGCAAAGTTTTAGTCAGTTGCAGTTACTAATGCTCCTTAAATAACACATTTTTTATTTAAGGAAAAAAATATCAATGTCACATTTTCCTTCCAACCACTATTTAGTAACTATCACATAAAACCCCTCATTAAAATTCATTGCTCCTCGAGGTTGAGACATAAAACTAATAACTGTTTCATGAATCTGTTGAGTTTTACCTTTTGTATTAATTACTGTTATAATTTTTAAATCACATTTTAATGTATTGAGACGTACGTGTTCTAAATAGTTCACATTTTAGGAAAAAAAAAAGTTGGTCAAAGTGAGTTTGTAAACTGCATGATGCAATGTTTAGACCAACTGAAAAATAGATCAATTGACAATGGGTGGTAAAAGTGGAATGAATAGTAAAGACAAAATATAATTTCAAGATGATTTTTTTTTATAGTTCATGATAGTTATTCTAACGATTTCCTGCTTTACAATTGCACGGTAAGTCTACACAAATAGGTCCAATACTCGTATTTTTTGCTAGTGTGAAGAACATTCCATACAAGAGATATTTGAGTCTTTTTATATAATTGATTCACATACAGAAGGCAGATGATTGTTTGATGATCAAGCCCAATAAGGAAAATTGGATTTCAAACCCATCAAGGCACAGATGGAGCACAGTCAGCCACCGTCGTTTGGGAATCTGTGGCACCCGAGGACGGCGCCTTGAGGATCACATCTGAATGCGTGCTGAAACCGTGACGACTGTTCAAGGAGTCGGCAGAGTTTTGATTATATGATTCGAGAGATGTTTGGGCGGCGACAGGACTCGCATCACCCGAGACCAGCTTCTGATTATCATCACCAACGTTTCCCTCGTGTGAATGAAGGCTGTGGCTCGATTTAGACGTCCTGTCATGGTTGGGATGGAACGCAAAACCGCGGAGTCCCATTAACTCGGAGGCCGTTTGGTTCTCGCTCACGGCTCCAAGATCTATCTGCGAAGATGAGTCTGTGCCGTTCACCTCAAACTGGCTGCGACACTTCTCAGAAGTTCTTCCCAGTTGGTTCTGGGAACTAAACCTAATGTCCAGTTCGCCGTCGGATCCGAACGCGAGATCTCGGACGACTACGCTTTCAGGTTCAGACGGCCGATCTTCGCTCTCGCTCTCCTCCAACTGTTGCTGGGCGAGATCTGGGTTTCCCTCGTCGCTTGGCGTTTCCAGGTCCTGCTCTCCTTCTTGTGGGACCGGATCTGGCCCCGGGTCCTCCTGGGAGGCGGGGCCTTCGTCGCCCGGAGCCGGGCTCTGACTGGCCGGTGTCGGTCGGACCGTCTGGTGGCACATGGGACACGTTTCTTGCACATACAGCCACTTGCGGAGACAGTTGCCATGGAAGAAATGGCTGCAGTACGTGATGACGGCAGAGCTCATTTCCTGTAGATAAAGACAAATCTAGTTTTAAAACAAATTCAAAAATACTTTATTGATTCCCAAAGGGAAATTAAATGTTGTAACCTATATTAATTCTTCAGAGTTGGTGTGAAAGGTGATACATGCCGACACCTGTAGCAGTCTGCAATTTGAAGTAGCTTCTGACTAAAGACACCGTTTTTCCAAGATGGGGCGTTCCATAATTGTATTTTTATTTATTTTTTTATTTTACAACATGTGAGCCAGCTCGCTCTCATCCACTGTCAATAAAGTTTTTCTGATAATTTTGTTGCCATCATTGAACACGGTTTAAGTAATCAAATCCATTGCCTCTGCTAATTTGCAGTAGAGTAAACTCATGCTCTCTTTTATATTTTGAATAAAGATGCAAATCTTTCAATGTGTGGCGATTCGACTCAAATTTTTAGGGTCACGATTTAATTCAGAAACTATTTCATTCAAAAGCAATTTTTAATTCAGCAAACAGTTTTTCTATTCAAACGGTCTACAAATGTTGTTTAAATTATATGACCAGAGGAAAAGACGCTGTAAACAAATAAAACATTTATTATTTAAAGCAATTCTCTAATGTTTCATCAATTTATATTTCAACAAAAACCTGTTTTTGCTAACCTAACAGTTGTTATGCTAGCTTAGCTGCTTGGTTTTTTCTTAAATATCAAAGTATTATTCAAAATATATACAGTGGGACATGCAGTACAATCGCAAATATGAGCGTCAAAAACGTACAACTTCAACTAATTTTAAAACTGATTGAGTATTTTTTTTTTAAAATTGGTTCAGAATTGCGGTTCTCTATAGAGAATCGCCTCCAATTTTAAATTAGCTTTGTTTTGTCATCTTTTCCCTAATTAATATTATGAGATTTCCATCTGCATTTACAGTGTTTCAAACAAAACAAAAGCGTGAACTAAAGAAGGTGTCAAGCTGGAAAAACAGGAAGAACACGTCTCAAAAGCCCCACTCGGCGTGAAGCATTTTGTACTACTGTCGTTTGTTTACAGAGCGGACCTGAAGCCAGAACGGCTCCAGACTCCAGTTATACACTACGCTCCTGCAAACACAATTTATTGACGTTTTAAATCCTTTGTCTGCTTGGGATTTTTTTATTAAACATCGTTTTCATCCAGTTCAATCAGTGCAGCTGTTTTGTGAAAACATAAGTGACCAATTTTAATCTCTGAATTATTTACTCAGTTTAAAATCTCCAAAATTGCATTAAACTGGTAAATAAAAAAATAATCAGAAATGAACGAGTATATTAGTTTTCAGAGGTAAACTAATAAATTCACTGCTGACTTAACTGGTTATGGAGGCCCACCAGGCTTATAATACATTGTGGGAAACTATAAATATGTCATTGTTGTATCTTGCTTGTAATGTTTCAATTATTATTTGTAAAGCACTTTGGGATAACACTGTGGTTTTAAAAGTGTTATCTGTACTTTAGAAATCTCTGTCTGGGCCTGAATTTAGAAAGGTCCAAAACGTGTATGCATCAGAATTGTACTCATTTCTATTTTTTCATTGGATGAATGTTTTCACAAGCACAATATTTCATATGTTTCTACAAAAGTCCCTTATCAGGTGAGAAACAGATTTTTCTGTAGATAACACAACTGCTGGGAAGCAATTATATTGCATTACATACATTACGTGTTCTTATTTTCCCAGTGAAAATTTCAGTCTTTTAAAGACGACAGTGTAAGCCTGTTTGCTATGCGAGAAATCACTGCAGGGAGATTCAGAGAAAACTGTGTTTCTTGTATTTGTTGGTGTCTTATGATGGTTTTACGATCTTTAGAACGGCCATAAAATCATACCATTGGTAGGGTTTCTGCAAGTTTCACCAAATTTAAGACTTTTTAAGACCATTTAAGACCTATATTATGATAGAAATGTACAAAAGAAATGCACTTTTCTTTTTTTTTTTCAGGGGACCAACAGTGTGAATTTTCTGTGGTCTTTTTGTTAGCTAGCTGTTTTGAGATTTTTTTAAATTTTTTTGTGAATGTTGTCCAGCCAACTGCATATAAGTTTATACTCATAAAACACTAGCTAGCTAGCAATTATTAGCAACTTGTAACCGATAGCTTTAACTGCCTCGAGACACAGAATGCTGTGAGTGATGATGAAACTCAAACTTTGAGACCCGATTAAGAACAAAACCTACATGGCCGCGACAAAATTTAAGACTCGAGATTAATGTATTCAAAGGCCAACTTACAGTTTTTTTTAACGGATTTAAGACATTTTAAGACCTTAACTTTACATCGACGAATTTAAGACCTTTGAAGGTTTTTCTTTGAAAGCCAAAAACAAATTAAATCCACAAGAAAGAACATGTTTCGCTGCACCAACTACTGATGCCTCCAATTTACTTTTTATCGCTCCACTAACGAAAGCTATGATCTTTAAAATAAGGATCCACGGCTAACTGAGGTCACAGCTTATTACAGTACATATTATTTTTTAAAATCCCATTTTACCGGCTCTGCAGAGATCACCCCTTGTGGAACGAGTGACGCACCTGAAAGCAGATGGAACAGACGTCGTTGTGCTGGTCCAGCTGCTCCGCCGTGGCTCTGGGCAGGGAGTTGATCTTTTTCGCCGCTTCCCGTCGGAGCAGGAAGCTCTTCCAGCCGGACTGGGCTCGGAGCCACACGTTGAAGTACGAGTGGATGATGATGACAGAGGCGCCCATCCAGCTCCACTCGCCAAACAGCGACTCCCAGGTGCCGTAGGCCACCACGCACAGCGCCACCAGGAACTCCAGCACCCTGCTGATGGCGTTCACCCAGTAGATGACCTCGTCCAGGCTCTCGATCGGGTCACTGCGGAATAGCTCCACCATGAAGAGGCAGTAGATCAGCATGGTGCCTGTGACCTGGACAAGAATCGTCATCGTCATTGTTTCTAGGAACTATTAATACACGGGAGACTTGGCGTTTTTTACTCCTTTCTTTTTTTCATTTTAAATATTTGTTGTGCTTTCAAATTCTGCAGGAATGAGAAGCATGCATCGGATGTGTAAATGTTTGTGTGTGTATTTTCTCATTAGCAACTGACGGCAGTCAAACAAGAATGCGCTTATAAATATTGGTACCGCGACCCAATCTAGGACAGGCTTTTAGTACTACGTCTAT